GACAGTGGTTTGAACAGGGGGTTGAAAAGATCCTAGTTTTTACCGAGAACTGTTCAAACCCCATTTGTTGTCAGCACACCATAACTGATCCATGACTATATGTCACTTTCTGTTATTTGTTAGTTGTTACTCACATGTAAATACTATTACATGAATATCTATTCTGACCAATGACATCCATCCATCCAGGAATAATGTGTCAGCTTTGAATTCTTTATCAGATGAAGGAGGCAGTCTCGACTTCCGTGTTACTCAGGCAAAGCGATCGACTTAAAGTTATGTGTAAATGTACCTCACACTCAGTTACTATATGGAAGTGGCATATATATATACATGATAAACATTGGTATAACAGTATGGGTTTGTTATAGTACAGTATTTCTCTCCTTCCTCTTACATATTTGTCAAAGAGATTATATTTGAAACAATTTGTATTTTGTAATATTCACATTTGTTATATTTTAACTTCATGTCTGTTTTTCTCAACCCTGCACTTATATAGAGATATTATACCTTTATGTAAAATAAAATACTTTCCGGCTGATAAACATCTAATTCAAACAACACACAACAGTAATTATCATGCAAGGCTTTACTCAGACAACAACAAACAGTCATTCATGATTTTGGATCTTGTGCGGTTCTCTCCCTTACACTGCTTGTGCATTAACAATGAGCGGTACTGTCTCCCTCTTATTATTGCTGTAAACTTCCAAACAAATGTCATGCATTACACGGTGTAAATAAAACACAAACTGAACAACCAACAAGATATTTTGATAACAAGTGGGCCAAATGTTACATGTTAACCCATAAGTCCCATAGCCAGTTTAGATAACTATTACAAACAGACCACGGAATAATTCGGTCTGGCTTTATATGGGTCTCAGCGAGGCTGTTTGTATATTATCAACTATTATTATTGTTTTGGGAGGGGAGGTGGGGGTGGGGGTCTTCTTTTTCATCAAATGCTACATGATATTTGCCTCAAATACTTCCCGTGAATATGCAGACTCTATTGGAGTATAAGGTTGGCATGCGTGTCGAGGACATGTTGAATCCGGTGTAAGAACGAGAAGCCGACATTGAAAAATGGCGCTGAATGGTATATACAAATTCGATACTAGTTCATGTGATGTCGCTCCAGGAACAGATTCATTGAGCTGATTTCTACATCTGAGACAGACATCCACATGTTTTTACATTTCCTGAGACAAAAACTAATGGGTAATATAAAAAACTGAAATCTTAAAGCTTATCTGTACATTGTGAAATATTTTTGAAAACACCTCACCAAGATCTACAAACTTAAGTCATAAGTAATTTGTAGTTATTCGTGTCTCATAGGTTAATCGCTGAGCACTCAGTCACCTGCACGTATCGTTGGATAAACAAACAGTTCTATTATCTACTGCTGCTCAAAAACATCTATCTTGCTGTATCTTTGTAAAGTGTTTAATGCTTTTATTTGTTTACTATTGTTGTTATTTTATGTTGTTTCTAATAATATTAATTGAATTGGTGACTAAATTCCATCAAATTGTGTGGACTCGTAAGTTTATTATAAAATATGACGACAATTTGTCCAAATATAAATTTGGCAAGAATATCGAAACATATTGTATCATAGCATTTCTGACAGTGTTGTACGTTATCCGTTTTCTTTAATACCCTAGAATATACATACATTTGTTTGTGAGACCGCCTCCGTGGCCTATAGTTTTGAGCCACCAAATGTCTGTTGAGTTTGCCCCAGTAGTCTGATAGCGAAGTATTTAGATTCCTTCGACTGCGAATAGTGTCACTCTCTAACTTTCGGCGGCATTCGACCGCATCCGTGGACGATTTTGCGGACAGAACGTTTTCCCGGAGGACGTAAGGTCGGTGGTTTGATCATGCCAAAAGACGTAAAAATGGTACTTGTTACCCTCTATGGTGTATGGTATGTAGGTATATGCGCGTGCGTGCGCGCGTTAGTGTGTACGTAGAAAAGGCAAAATGTTAATTTGTTGTACCTGCTAATACTGCAGTATGAAGTTTAAGGATTGTTGGGGCCTTGACTGTTTATACAGACAGTGTAACGTACGACATGTGTGTTATAATTATTGTATATAGCAAAGCATTAAAGTTCGATCTCATTGTTTCATGTAAATTACTAACAGGTGCATATAAACATGTATTTCAGAGGTAATATGTTAAACGGAATTATAACGCATGCGTAGCTATAAATAGTTGGGGTAAACCCATATTATGTCCGGGTACAGATGTGGTTCTATTACCGAATCTGAGTGAACAGGAAATAGAAATTATGATTCATTCTAACGACTGTAGTGCAGTGTGATGTACACACCATGAGGGGAGACTGTTTCTAAACCGACCTAGTCACAGTGACGACTAAACTCACAAGAGAGGGAGAGGATACACGTGATCTCGGACGGAGAGGGACCATGGAGGTAATATATAGTCACGTATATAACATAATCATATAGATATGAATTATATAAATGCAAACAATAGCAATTTGAATGTATAGAAACAGTGTTGAAATCTACGTTTCACAACAAAAGGAACCCTCACACTGTTTGGTGTTTCGTACATTGAGAAACAGTAGAATGTCAGTTAGATTAACATATAAATAAATATACGCGACAAAACCATTGTTATAATAAGGGGAAAAGAGTTAATTGTACGATTCCGACGATATCATAAGCATGATTTATGAATCACTGTGAAATATAGTGAAGATACAAGGTGTTTGCGAAAGGGTAACTATCCAACCACACCGAAGGGGATTGCATTTGACATATATGTACCAAAGATTAAATAAAACAACTCTGTAACAGAAACCTCAGAGCCTTCATATCTCCTAATTTTGAGTTGAGAATGAGATGAGTTAAGGATGATAGAGCTGAGAAGGGGAAGGTCTGTGGAATGTAATAGGGGTAATTGTCGTATGAGATATACGCTCTAGAGTGAGTGAGTGAGTGAGTGAGTGAGTGAGTGAGTTGGGTTTAACGCGGCTTTTAACAGTAATCCAGTTATATCACGGCGTGTCAGCTTAATGTGGGAGGAAAGCCCGAAGTGATGCAGGTCTCAGACGTTTACCACTTCGGTGAAACCCACGAGCACGGGTATGGTGCTGACAAACCTAGAAACATAATCATAGGTTTCTGGTGTGCCCAAAGGACGCAACTCTGCACAGCGAATCGCGGCGCCTTAGACGACTGGGCCACCCGTGCCCCCACGCTCTAGAGTACAAATCAATATGTTGAAAGGAAGTTGTATGAAGGCTGGCTGTTTTTCATCATTTGCCATTCTAAATTGACATATTCCTCATGCGATTTGTGTATACAAAGCAGAGACAAAACTTGGTGATGGAACAAACTATGACAGTTCTATTCCTAATGAATAACATTATAAATCCAAACTAGCTTTGTATCCATTTATTTTTAACACAGCTCCTTGGTCATGTTACCAGCATTTTATATAAATTAAAAATTAAAAATATAGGAAAACAAGCTTCCATCATCACAATCATCACGTTTTCATATAGACGAGAACATTTTCAGCTGTACTAGAAGGGAGCGGTTATTCAATTCAGCAGTGTGGTTACTGTCATGTGACCTTATTTCCCGCATTGTCTCTCTGTTCCAGACACGGCTGCTTGCATATTGCTGGATCGTGATCATTCCAACACTCAGAGCAGGATCTGGTACGTCTGCATTTTATCGTATCCGAGTCACTTGTCTACCCACCTTAATGTAAACCAACATAGCAATTAATCGGAATGAATGATACCAAAAAGTTAAAACTTAATCAAGGGCCATAATTTGCCATTAACGGCGGCGTTATTGTAAACCAGAGAATGTTCCACAAAAATGTAACCCAGGACACCTCTGGTGATACAGTTGATACAGATGATATTTCTTTGTAACAGTACACGTGTACACCGCACTAGTATCTTCTTTTATCATATAATGGGTAGGTTTCTCGGCAGGATAAAGCCAACGGATAAAAACGATATCCGTTGGGGTCATATGCGGATAGAGATGCAAATATCAAAGGTCAAGTAGGACTACTTTCACTGTTTATAAACAAACATGGCGTCGCCCTCGTCATTCGGCGATCGAGTCAGAATTAACCATCGTGAATCTGGATAAACTACAGGGATAATTGCTTTCATTATCCAACGAACAGTCTAATATAATAAATCAGTGTCTAACCGTGACGTAGCTAAGGCATTTTATAAGTTTTGGCAACTTTCGAGATATAAATTTCGAAACAATTTTGCGAGGGCACGAGGCCTAGCCAAGCGGGATCAGTAGCCAAATCTGTGCTTGTAGACCTCTGTGGCTTGAAACCTTCTCCACAAATCAAAATGGTTGGATTCGGCCGAAATATGTTTGAACTGTTACCTTGTTTCGATTTGTCGCTGTGTGTACATCCGACTACACTTCTAAACGTTATGAAAGGACAGACCGACTGTCAACAACGTCTGACCGTGGCCGTGACTCATAGACTAGGGTTAGAGTAGCTTCCCTTTGACAAAGGGCAGTTACTCTAGCGGACAGACCGATGGATTGCCACGAAAGGCAATTAAAAACAACTGTTGTTTTGCGTATAAGTTGCTTCGCCACTGTATATGAAACAGATTTCAGTTGGAACTATATTGGCTACTATCACAGACCTACTGACACATCACTTACCCTGTGACGTAATAAATATTAATGCGCCCATTCCAGGAAAACTCGCAATGTTTCGGTAATGTTTGTGAGAGAGGGAAAGCGATTTTAAAGCACAGAATTAAAGAATGACATTATATGATAAAGAGGTTATCACGCTTGTGTGTTTGGGGATGGTAAATATCCTGTATTAGGAATAAACACTATGTATTTAGCTCGCCAAGGCTCGCTAAATACAATGTTTATTCCTAATGCAGGATATTTACCATCCCCAAACACACTCGCGTGATAACCTCTATATATATTGCCTTTGGCTAGAATCTTGTGTGGACACGTTGGGGGATCACTGCAAGACAGTGGATTGTTCACAACCAGGAATTGATGTCGTCTGTGCGAAGACGTGTGCCACTTGCCGAGAAGAAGGTTTGTCATAGAACTATTATTCCTTTATCTGTTTCTCGTTCCTTAAGTTAACCTTAACTTTGGTTAACATGCACAACTTAACCAAATGTTATGTATACAGAGAACACAATTCGGATAAGATCTTGAATGCTGTTGTTGTTTCTTATTTCTATATATTTTAACTTCTAAACACAATATATTGATGATATTCGTTGATATACAATATCTGCCCGGAACAGAGTTTAATAAGTATTCAATGCAAATGTCAATTACGGTTTCTTCATAATACTTTTCTAATGATCATTGCAACATTCAGAGCAGGATATGGTACGTCTGCATTTTATCGTATCCGAGTCACTTGTTTATGATCTCTGCCCACCCTGATGTACACTAATATTGCAATTAATTAGAATCATTGATACCAAAAAGTTAAAACTTAATCAAGGGCCATAATTTGCCATTAACGGCGGCGTTATTGTAAACCAGAGAATGTTCCACAAAATTGTAACCCAGGACACCTCTGGTGATACAGTTGATACAGATAATATTTCTTTGTAACAGTACATGTGTACACCGCACTAGTATCTTCTTATATATTGCCTTTGGTTAGAATCTTGTGTGGACACATTTGGGGATCAGTGCAAGAAATTGGATTGTTCACAACCAGGAATTGATGTCGTCTGTGAGAAGACGTGTGCCACTTGCAGAGAAGAAGGTTTGTCATAGAACTATTATTCCTTTATCTGTTTCTCGTTCCTAAAGCTAACCTTAACTTTTGTTAACATGCAAAACTTAATCAAATGTTATGTATACAGAGTACATAATTTGGATAAGATCTTGATTGCTGTTGTTGTTTCGTATTTCTATTATGTTAACTTCTAAACACAATATATTGATGATATTCGTTGATATAAAATATCTGCCCAAAACAGAGTTTGATAAGTATACACAAACAGTCTCTCGAAATGCAAATGTCAATTACAGTGGCTTCATAATACTTTCCTAATAATACGACATTAATTGTGCAGGTTGTGCAAACGGTTACTACAGCACAGCTGAGAGAATCTGTGAATCCTGTGCCAAACCGCCGGTATCACATCGTACTGACTCATACAACAGTTCCTGTGTGCAAGAGTGTCCCGATGGCAAGTGGGGACTTGACTGTAATACGAACTGCGGCATTGGGTGTAAGTCTACTTGTCGCAGGTGGACTGGTCTATGCCATGGTGGATGTAAACGCTGCTACTGGGGTCCTAAATGTAATCATATACATGACGGGTGTATTTGTAACCAAACCGCCGGGGAATGTATGTGTAAAGAAGGACATTATGGAGAAACGTGTGACACAAAGTGCTCACCTAAATGTGAAGGTGGTGTATGCGATACCACGGGTACGTGTTCGAGGGGATGCAAGGAAGGTTGGTCTGGCAAGATGTGCGATCACTCCTGTATAAACTGTTTACTGAGCAAGTGCATGGCTAATGGAACCTGTACAGAAGGTTGCAAGGCTGGTTTCTATGGTAACTTGTGTCAGGTCGCATGTAACAAACAATGTCACAATAGTACATGTAGATGGAACACAGGCGAGTGTGACGAGGGATGTACTGGTGGGTGGTATGGTGGCAGATGTGACATCAGATGTCCCGGAAACTGTGCTTCAGAATTGTGTGACAGAACTAATGGTGCATGTTCACACTGTCAGAATAGTTCCATGGGTTCTAACTGTACCACACCATGTCCACGTAATTGTGATTCGAAGACATGCGAACAAAATGATGGTAGATGTGTCAAGTGTACAGTTGGCTACAGCGGATCTAACTGTGACACACCATGTCCACACCATTGTGCCACAGATGCCTGTGAACAACATGGAGCTAACTGTACAGGATGCAAACCTGGCTATAAAGGTCCACACTGCGACACCCGGTGTCCAGATAAATGTTCGAGTTGTCACCAATCTGAAAATACATGTATCTCATGCAATGCTAACTGGTACGGGGGAACATGTGGCAAATCTTGCAACACATGTCTGAATGGTACATGCAACATAACTGATGGAGCCTGCCTATATGGATGTAAACCGGGTAGCTATGGACACCGCTGTAATCGAACCTGTAATGAAAACTGCTTAAAGACAGAATGTTTCCGTGACTCGGGAAACTGTACACACGGATGTAAGGACGGCTGGTGGGGGCCTCAGTGTAACAGCAGATGTCCGTCACACTGTGCCAGGTGTGATAGAGTTGATGCTGCATGTCTGGAATGTGAGGAGAACTACTATGGAGAGAACTGTAGCAGCAGGTGTTCCCCCAGGTGCGGCAGCTGTGACGGAACAGGACACTGTCTTACCTGTGCTGAAGGCTGGGAGGGAGACAACTGTCATGGTAACGTTCCTTTTGTTAGCTCACCTGACAGAAAGAAACGGCGTTTTGGCCGAGACACCATTTCCCTCCACTGTGTTGCGAAACTAACGTATTTCTTAAGTATGTAAGCTGAGGAAGTAATTCAAAGGTAACCTATCATTTATAGTTTCAACAAAATCATAAACGAGCTCCTGTGTTACTGGATTGCCAGTAAAGATTCAACCGTCGCATAGCATTAGTATTGTTGTGCGGCGTTAACAACAAACACATATATATTAATGTTGTGTAAGTTGTGGCTGCTACATACTTAACCTTTTAACTAACCCCTAGTGAAATTTTCAGTGATCCATTGTTATAATTTTCCTTAAATGATGTAACCTTGATCAAACAACTTTTGAGCTAGAGTCGTATGAGGCCCTTTAAAATCTTGCTTGATCAAGGTTACAACATTCAAAGCCTTCTCGGGATAAGAGGATAAGCATCACTAGGTATAGATTCGATCCCCGGGTGCGTCATACCAAAAGATAATACACTTGTTGTTACCTTGCATGGAGCTCTTCTCGGGATAAAACAAAAACTGGTAGGCATGGTGCCAGTATACTGTGTCTGAGTGGGATATTCATGTTAAAACCGCGGTATAGTATCTCAGTGGGTAGTTAGCAGCAACACACACACTTGCATGCTCGTTGCATAATCTTGAAAGCGAAGTTACTTCCTGTTTCACATCACCACCAGCTATTTCTATGACTGTCAGAAAATATGATTATTGATAAGATGATAGAGTTTCTAGAAAAGAATATATCTGTGTATAAATCACTCTCACTCACTCACTCACTCACTCCCTCACGCACTCACTCACTCACTCACTCACGCCATAGGCCCATGACATATACTAACGGAAAAAGTAACTGTGCTTCACATAAAGCAGTGTAAATGTCATGCTATTAAATAAATTGGTCATTCGTCTGATCAATGTTTTGTCATAACAAATTCATTGACAAAACTCATACATGGTAACAGGAGACAGAGCGCCACGCCCAACGAGAGGGGTTGTGTAACAACTCAATTAACAAAGTCAGTTATCGGGTGTGACAACCATTTCCCTTGATACAGGGGAGTCAGCGGCGGCGCATAAAAGACACCAGGTGATTGAAAAAAGCCTTTGGGATGTTGTTCTAAATGTCAACCAAAAGATTTTCCCAAATGAGCAAGCTTAACCGGCTGGTTTTGATCCCTTCGTTGTCGTCGTTTCACCTCACCCGAGAGGTGTTCTGTGTGGAAGAGGTCAGGGGAAACAGTCGACCATGGCAGTACAGCAGTGTTATATTGCCTCAGCGTCTGTTGCTTTATGTTGGCGGGCATTATCGTCCTGCAACATGCATTGCACAAAGGTCCTTACGCCATTCAGAGTTGACTTGTGTTCTCCCATGAGTTGTGATGCCACTCCATACCATTACAATTCCAAAACTGACGACGTTGAGTAACGCAAGCGTTGCTAAAACGTTCTCTTGGACGCCTGCAGACCCTTGCACGACCATCATAGCTGTCCAGATGAAACATGGACTCCGCTGTGAACAGTATGATGTCCCAGTCCTGTCTTATGAAGCTTTTGAGGCTGTCTACACCAAGCAAGACGTGCCTGACGGTGACGTGAAACCAAGATTTGGCTATTACTGGGACGCCGGAGCAGGATGTTGTGCTCCCTCAACGGGTTGCGTACAGTTCTGCCTCAAATTGGTCTCAATCCAGGAATTGTCGGAGTTGTTAAAGTGGCAGTTTGGTATCGATTCCGAAAACGCACCAATCGAATATGGTTATCTTTGTGACGTGACGTCATACGTGGTCGGACCGGCCTGTGGCAAGTTGCCCCGCAGTAGATTACGTCTCCAAAGAGAATATATTGTGTTTCGATGTTAAAATGCCTGGCAGCAAACCCACGCCGCGTAGACGTTAATTTTCAACAAACATTGGCATTGCGTAAACGTTATTTACGGTAAACAAAAGTTGTTGTTTTTTAGCACCTGACAGCTAAACCATCACTGTATGCTGTTCACATTAAAAATCCACGTGTGAGAGTATCTTGCTCCCAACAAATACGCAAACATCGGAATGGTGCGCCGTGCATGAACATGTACGTGCAAATTAGGAATCGCGACCTTAAAGTCGAGGAGATGTCTTCACGACTTAGTCTATGTATTAAGAGAAGCATTATCTAATTTCAGAATAAATATATTTTCATTAAACGTTATATGAAACACATTTATTCTGATCGATTACAATACACACAAGGTGGACATATGGATTGTACAAGTCAATAAATGACGTTAGAATTATGACATGTGAAATGAATTATTATTTACCGGCGGAATAAATCTCAAAAAGCATAGAATAACTCACTAAACGTAGATCTTCGACATAATAGGCAAAGACAAACAGTTAGACATTTTGACAACATTTCCCAGTGAAAAATCATAGTTTCAAATACATCTTAATATATGAACATGAATAGAACTTTTGTAAGTTCCGTGCCATTGATCTATCTCTTTTGTATCATATTTCAGCGTCGAAGAGTCTGCAGCCATCAACACTAATATGGACCTCTGTAGTTGCAATTCTGCTGCTTATCATTGTGGCCATGACCATTAAGATGTAAGTCCGGATCCTTACAGTGACAATATAGGATTAATATCTGAATTAACATCCTCTATTGTCCAATTTAAGAAATATACAACGACCACAATATATATGAGATATTCCATGGCTGTTTCTAAAATCTGATTGGACGGCTATTATTAGCAGCGTGTCTCTCGAATGCCCTTCAAAACGAAGCCATGTTGGCGAAAGTGAGTGAGTATGGTTTTACGCCGCTTTTAGCAATATTCCAGCAATATCACGGCGGGGGACACCAGAAATGGGCTTCACACATTGTACCCATGTCGGGAATCGAATCCGGGTCTTTGGCGTGACGAACAAACGCTTTAACCACAAGGCTACCCGACCGCCCCTGCTGGCGAAAGGGCCCAAGGGATTTATCATAGATATAATACAGTGGATACTTGAGGATGCTGTTGGGAAAAAGAAACTGAAAGCATGTGAATGATAACAGTTAAGGCATCCAAAGGCAACGGCGATTGGGTTAATGTTAAATATATCCTCAACGAAACAGATGAACTATATTTGTGTTCGTTCATTACACCAATATCGCTGTGTTGCGGTGTGGGTACCCCTCGGACGTCACACACATATATACTATTTTGACTTCTCTTAAACGATTCCCTACCGACTTAGTAATTTTTATGTTGTTTATTATGCTGTAATTGTTATGTTTGTCAGTTCTTAATTGTATCCCCTCGTGTGCTCTATCATTAACGTTGCTCTATAAAACGTTTTCTCATTCAAGACACACATATGATTTAATCATGTTTGTTCATTACAAGGAATCTTGTTTTTAAACTATTACTGTTTCCCCTGAAAATGATTAACTGCTTATATTCGCGTTACTGTTTCAGGGCAATAGTTTGCCATATCCAATTTAATGAACATCATCCAATTAATATATCCTGATACGACTGTTGAAAAAATTATTACGCCAATATTTGCATAATAAAGTGTTTATCGCGCCTGTATCTTAGGGTAATTCATGGTCGACATGATTAAGGTTGAACCCTTTTCCAAATGTTTCAAACATTTCAATTTAGACAATATTTGGTGAAATGCCAAAATAAGTTTTAAAATTTCGATATTTTTTTCAGCGTTTCTAAAAGGAGAAAAGCGGTGTACCTCTCCCCCCGTTTTGAGGACAATGTTTACTCATCAGTTGATGACGTGTCACTGTATGAGTTGGCTGAACCACGAGACAGTACTGGATCTCAGTATGCAACAATTCCAGATGCTGCAGTATCGTTGGAAGACAGAGGCTACGAGCAGCTGAGACAGGCTTCCCCTTGCACGGGTTACACGTCTCTGTACTGAGAAGAGACAGTCAGATCAATTACATCATGTTCTTCTGGAAAATCTTACCATTTCAGTGCAGTTACATACGCTTATTATGGAAAGAAGCGTAATTGACTGTTAGAAGTCATGATTAATACATTTAATCCTCCATCTGTGTAGCCTAGTAGTAAAAGGTTTCGCCCGTCCCTGCAAATGCCTGAGTTTAATTCCCTACATGGGACAATCTGTGCAACGCCCGGAGTAAGAAACTGACGAGCTAGACTCAAGTTGTTTATTATATTTCCAATTCTGGTGGATACATGAAAGGATGACACTGTTCTTTGAAATTATGTTTCTAAATTTGTCAGCAACATATCAGTGTTCATGGGTTTCACCAATGTGATAAACGTCGTAGACCTGCATCACTTCGATCTTTTCTCCCACATGAAGCTGACATCATGATATAATTGAAAGACGTATCAAAACAGCGTTAAACCCAGCTTCGCTTACTCAGTCACTCATAAACATTTACAGTAAATTAAAGGAGCGCTGTTAATGTGAATATCTGTATATAAAATATGTAGTTTATTTACTCACTTATAGCTTTCTGTGTTATTGTTTGAGTGATTCAAGAGAATAAACATTTTGCTTCGTCTTCATTTTACTTTGTCAAACTTCATTATAATTTCGAATGGTTAAACAAATTAACATCTATACAGGCGAGCATGGCAATTTGTTAAGAGTGTCGTGGCGTGATTTGACCACATCCATGGATTTACAAACGTGGAACAAACGATTATTGTTGATATAAATAAAAACACGTTCCAAAAATATTAACAATCAACATTACTACTTCACTGTTAAACACACACTTGCACATCCTTTTGTGCAGTGTCGAGGAAGATTTGTCATATCAAACATCTATCATGTTACAAATGTGCCCGTGGTCACCTTGCCAGTTGACTTGAAGAAGTAATGCGTTATAATCGATTACTTCATTAAGTGATGATGGGTATTTAAATACCTATATAAAGTTTAGTTAAGTATATTTCCGTACTCCTCCATAACTAAATGTACATCGGACAAGAGGTTCACGTTGGAAGGGAATAACATAATATTCAAAATTAAGAGACACGATTATTGCCAGTTTCCAGGTCCATAAAGTCCACCCTGAGTATATGTATAGTGCGTTTTCAACGTGAAATATAGAAGCTTTAGCCAATCTTAATGTGTGGATTCTTCAGGAAAGGATGGGATGACGTCATACTCTCCAGTTGGGACAAGTAACGGATGCCGTTTATGACTTAACGATAAGAAATAATGCTTGAGTGACTATTTCATTCAGATATTCCATTAAAGTTTAACTATGATTCATACATGTGCTGTGCCCTGTATTCGAACCGTTTGGTTTGGTTGAAGTCAGCTCAGTAATCTACCTATGTTGAGGGGATGTCCTCTCGGTTACTAAAAGGCAAATACATCTTCACCATGATACACGATATCATAGTAATGTCGACGCTAACTATTGGAGTCATGACATTCAGGTGCCTTGAGGTCTCAATGCAAAATGTCATAGGCATTTTCTTGTTATATAACTTACTTTAATATTAAGCCAAATAAGAAGACACTAGAATAACGAAATCATATATTTTAAAACAAATTGATCTCTTTTATTTTTGGGAGAAGAATTTGAGAACAATATTGCTAGAGAGTTTCTATGAAATTACTAATCATGGAGTTACTTTACCTTGATTTCACATATCGATTCTGTTTAAGGTGCCCAGCGAGAAGAAAAGAAACTGGCCTTATTCATTCAACATTTGTTAATCCGTTGATTCAAATATACATATAAATTGTCAATGCAAAAGAATAATCATTATAGATTATCTGCCGCAGAATCGCGTTAAAACTCAATTGCATGTTCATTATTTGACCGAGTTTTTTTTAATGTTTCTGTATAATTTAATATCTTGTTAACCAGATCATCAAATGAACACTATGTTTATGTGTGACATTGCGCTTCTGAAACATATTATTTCATTGTCATCTGAATCACGTACATAGGTAGTGTTCTGTTCAGGTGGGGTATGCCTACCACCTGTACAAAACGATCTGGCCGTGGAATCAAGATGCTATAATGTCTCTCTGGAAGAGCTTGGTGGGTCACGTGATTGTGATTACCGATATTATGAAATGATTCAGGACGAAGCTGACCCAACGGCTGGTGCAGATGAAGGTGACGGGTGGTATGATAAGTTGATGTTACAGACCAGAGACGCTATGAGACACCGGGGCCAGCCGGGGAGGCCGTATGGTATACACAGCTAATATCTACATCTGTATCTTATATCTGATGTTTATATTCGGGTTTGATTAAATATGTTTCAGCACTGCTGTATGTAAACTTTGAATTTGTAAAATTCTAAAACATATTTGATTGCATTGAATTAGAATATGTTTTTCTTTCTTCTTAATGTGTTGTGTCAAATGTAAAAGACAGCATTGTATGCTTCATTACGTAGTATGTATACAGTTATCTCCCTTACATTGTATTTCCATTCAGCATGGCTGTGTCTGTGGTGTTGACTTCCTTTTCACCGTGATCTATTTTTACACGTGATATCAAATGGAAATACTTTAGAAAAAACCTTCATACCAACTGTCCTCAATTCTAAAGGTTGTCTAAGCTGTAAACAAAACGATATTTTGTACAAAATGACAGTGGTTTGAACAGGGGGTTGAATAGATCCTAGTTTTTACCGAGAACTGTTCAAACCCCATTTGTTGTCAGCACACCATAACTGATCCATGACTATATGTCACTTTCTGTTATTTGTTAGTTGTTACTCACATGTAAATACTATTACATGAATATCTATTCTGACCAATGACATCCATCCATCCAGGAATAATGTGTCAGCTTTAAATTCTTTATCAGATGAAGGAGGCAGTCTCGACTTCCGTGTTACTCAGGCGAAGCAATCGACTTAAAGTTATGTGTAAATGTACCTCACACTCAGTGACGATATTGAAGTGGCATATATATATACATGATAAACATTGGTATAACAGTATGGGTCAAATACTTCCTGTGAAAATGTAGAAAATCATTCCTCGATTGGAATATGGATTATGCTTAATCTTTCAAACTGGGATTTGGCGATGCTGGATCCTTCAATGTATATCTGTTTACGGATTTGTAGGAGCTTTGGAATCCCGTACAAGATATAAATGGACACGTCTTCAGGTTTTAGGGTCAAGTAAAAAATTGCTGATGTATGGTTTTGGCAGATTCTTCCCCAGTCAACTTACTGGCTTTGTATGTGGCTTCTTCCTAATTCTTTGATCATGTAACGCTTCTCCGTACCTCGTTAAAAGCTTCATGCAGGTTGGTTGATCACATTTACATAACTCACTTTGCTCTTCTTGAAAGCCATTTGACATGTCGGGGGCAAATAGACCTTTCATGGTCGAAGTCGCCTTAAAACTCTTATAAAAACCCAACCAACATCGTGAACATGAATTGCAGTCTAAAATAGTAAATTGGAAGCGTTTTTTAAAAATAAGAACAGGAGAAAACGTCGGGATGTATCACTGTCGCCAGAGTCAAACGGTTTTCGTACTGAAACTAAGTACACATGGATTACGCGCGATTGCCTTGATCTGCATGCTCGAGTTTAGTTACCCGATATGATACGATGCGCTCTTCACGGATGTGATATTTCACTACATATACAAGACACGGAAATAACAAGGTCTTAACATTCACTATGTACTTATTCCACTCAGACAATTCCCCGAGTCCCAACCATGTCTCTTATTTCTTACTTTCTTTACTATTTCTAACCGTTTACTTTCTCACATGTAATCACGGAAACTGTTATCAATAGAAGAAATGTAAAAGTTAACATCGCTGAATTATGTACTCAACACATTGCATTCCTTGTAGCAAGTTCAGAATTAATAAAGGCTCTATTGGAGTGTAAGGCTGGCATGCGTGTCGAGGACATGTTGAATCCGGTGTAAGAACGAGAAGCCGACATTGAAAAATGGCGCTGAATGGTATATACAAATTCGATACTAGTTCATGTGATGTCGCTCCAGGAACAGATTCATTGAGCTGATTTCTACATCTGAGACAGACATCCACATGTTTTTACATTTCCTGAGACAAAAACTAATGGGTAATATAAAAAACTGAAATCTTAAAGCTTATCTGTACCTTGTGAAATATTTTTGAAAACACCTCACCAAGATCTACAAACTTAAGTCATAAGTAATTTGTAGTTATTCGTGTCTCATAGGTTAATCGCACCTGCACGTATCGTTAGATAAACAAACAGTTCAATTATCTACTGCTGCTCAAAAAAATCTATCTTGCTGTATCTTTGTAAAGTGTTTAATGCTTTTATTTGTTTGCTATTGTTGTTATTTGTTTTTGTTTCTAATAATATTAATTGTATTGGTGACTAAATTCAATCAAATTGTGTGGACTCGTAAGCTTAAATATGACGACAATTTGTCCAAATATAAATTTGGCAAGAATATCGAAACATATTGTATCATGATAGCATTTCTGACAGTGTTGTACGTTATCGGTTTTCTTTAATACCCCAGAATATACATACATTTGTTTGTGAGACCGCCTCCGTGGCCTATAGTTTTGCGCCATCAAATGTCTGTTGAGTTTGCCTCAGTTGTCTGATAGCGAAGTATTTAGATTCTTTCTACTGCGAATAGTGTCACGCTCTAACTTTCGGCGGCATTCGACCGCATCCGTGGACGGTTTTGCGGACAGAACGTTTTCCCGGAGGACGTAAGGTCGGTGGTTTGATCATACCAAAAGACGTAAAAATGGTACTCGTTACCCTATTTGGTGTATGGTATGTAGGTATATGCGCGTGCGTGCGCGCGTTAGTGTGTACGTAGAAAAGGCAAAATGTTAATTTGTTGTACCTGCTAATACTGCAGTATGAAGTTTAAGGATTGTTGGGCCTTGACTGTTTATACAGACAGTGTAACGTACGAGATGTGTGATATAAATATTGTATATAGCAAAGCATCAAAGTTCGATGTCATTGTTTCATGTAAATTACTAACAGGTGCATATAAAACATGTATTACAGAGGTAATATGTTAAACGGAATTATAACGCATGCGTAGCTATAAATAGTTGGGGTAAACCCATATTATGTCCGGGTACAGATGTGGTTCTATTTCCGAATCTGAGTGAACAGGAAATAGAAATTATGATTCATTCTAACGTCTGTAGTGCAGTGTGATGTACACACCATGAGGGGAGACTGTTTCTAAACCGACCTAGTCACAGTGACGACTAAACTCACAAGAGAGGGAGGGGATACACGTGATCTCGGACGGAGAGGGAGCATGGAGGTAATATATAGTCACGTATATAACATAATCATATAGATATGAATTATATATATGCAAACAATAGCAATTTGAATGTATAGAAACAGTGTTGAAATCTACGATTCACAACAAAAGGAACCCTCACACTGTTTGGTGTTTCGAACATTGAGAAACAGTAGCATGTCAGTTAGATTAACATAAAAATAAATATACGCGACAAAACCATTGTTATAATAAGGGGAAAAGAGTTAATTGTACGATTCCGACGATATCATAAGGATGATTTATGAATCACTGTCAAATATAGTGAAGATACAAGGTGTTTGCGAAAGGGCAAGCGTATCCAACCCCACCGAGGGGAATTGCATTTGACATATATGTATCAAAGATTAAATAAAACAACTCTGTAACAGAAACCTCAGAGCCTTCATATCTCCAAATTTCAGGAGTTGAGAATGAGATGAGTTAAGGATGATAGAGCTGAGAAGGGGAAGGTCGGTGGAATGTAATAGGGGTAATTGTCGTATGAGATATACGCTCTAGAGTGAGTGAGTGAGTGAGTTGGGTTTAACGCCGCTTTTAACAGTATTCCAGTTATATCACGGCGTGTCAGCTTAATGTGGGAGGAAAGCCCGTAATGATGCAGGTCTCAGACGTTTACCACTTCGGTGAAACCCACGAGCACGGGTATGGTGCTGACAAACCTAGAAACATAATCGGGGCGAACCGGGATTCGAACCCACAATCATAGGTTTCTGGCGTGCCCAAAGGACGCAACTCTGCACAGCGAATCGCGGCGCCTTAGACGACTGGGCCACCCGTGCCCCCACGCTCTAGAGTACAAATCAATATGTTGAAAGGAAGTTGTATGAAGGCTGGCTTTTTTTCATCATTTGCCAATCTAAATGGACAAATTCCTCGTGCGATTTGTGTATACAAAGTAGAGACAAAACTTGGTGATGGAACAAACTATGACAGTTCTATTCCTAATGAATTACATTATAAATCCAAACTAGCTTTGTATCCATTTATTTTTAACACAGCTCCTTGGTCATGTTACCAGCATTTTATATAAATTGAAAAATATAGGAACACAAGCTTCCATCATCACAATCATCACGTTTTCATATAGACGAGAACATTTTCAGCTGTACTAGAAGGGAGCGGTTATTCAATTCAGCAGTGTGGTAACTGTCATGTGACCTTATTTCCCGCATTGTCTCTCTGTTCCAGACACGGCTGTTTGCATATTGCTGGATCGTGATCATTGCAACATTCAGAGCAGGATCTGGTACGTCTGCATTTAATCGTATCCGACTCACTTGTCTACCCACCTTAATGTAAACTAATATTGCAATTAATCGGAATGAATGGTACCAAAAAGTTAATACTTAATCAAGGGCCAAAGTTTGCCATTAACGGCGTCGTCATTGTAAACCAGAGAATGTTCCACAAAATTGTAACCCAGGACACCTCTGGTGATACAGTTAATACAGATAACATTTCTTTGTAACAGTACATGTGTACACCGCACTAGTATCTTCTTATATTTTGCCTTTGGCTAGAATCTTGTGTGGACACATTGGGGGATCACTGCAAGACAGTGGATTGTTCACAACCAGGAATTACAGTCAGCTGTGCGAAGACGTGTGCCATTTGCCGAGAAAAAGGTTTGTTATAGAACTATTATTCCTTTATCTGTTTCTCGTTCCTAAAGCTAACCTTAACTTTTGTTAACATGCACAACTTAACCAAATGTTATGTATACAGAGTACACAGTTCGGATAAGACCTTGATTGCTGTTATGGTTTCTTATTTCTATATAATGTTAACTTTTAAACACTGTTATACACTATCTGCCCAAAACGAAGTTTAATAAGTATACACAAACAGTTTATCAAAATTCAAATGTCAATTACAGTGGCTTCCTAATACTTTTCTAATGATACACGACATTAATTGTGCAGGTTGTGCGAAAGGTTACTACAACACAGCTGAGAGAAACTGTGAATCCTGTGCCAATCCGCCGGCATCACATCATACTGACTCATACAACAGTTCCTGTCTGGAAGAGTGTCCCGATGGCAAGTGGGGACTTGACTGTAATATAAACTGCGGCATTGGGTGTACGTCTACTTGTCGCAGGTGGACTGGTACATGCCATGGTGGATGTAAACGCTGCTACTTCGGTGCTAACTGTAATCAAACATATGAAAGGTGTATCTGTGACCAAACCGGCGGGGGATGTATGTGTAAAGAAGGACATTATGGAGAAACGTGTGTCTCAAAGTGCTCACCTAATTGTGAAGGTGGTGTATGCGATACCAAAGGTACGTGTTCGAGGGGATGCAAAAAAGGTTGGTCTGGCAAGATGTGTGATAAGTCCTGTACAAACTGTTTACTGAGCAAGTGCATGGCTAATGGAACCTGTACACAGACTTGCAAGGCTGGTTTCTATGGTAACTTGTGTCAGGTCGCATGTAACAAACAATGTCACAATATCACATGTAGAGGGAACACAGGCGAGTGTGACGAGGGATGTACTGCTGGGTGGTATGGTGGCCGATGTGACATCAGATGTCCAGGAAACTGTGCTTCAGAATTGTGTGACAGAACTGATGGTACGTGTGTCAAGTGTAAAGTTGGCTACAGCGGATCTCACTGTGACACACCTTGTCCAGGCAATTGTGCTACGAAGACATGCAAACAAAAGGATGGTACGTGTGCCAAGTGTACAGTTGGCTACAGAGGATCTCACTGTGACACACCTTGTCCAGACCATTGTGTCACCGATGCCTGTGAACAACATGGAGCTTCCTGTACAGGATGCAAACCTGGCTATAAAGGTCCACACTGCGACACCCGGTGTCCAGATAAATGTTCGAGTTGTCACCAATCTGAAAATACATGTATCTCATGCAATGCTAACTGGTACGGGGGAACATGTGGCAAATCTTGCAACACATGTCTGAATGGTACGTGCAACATAAATGATGGAGCCTGCCTATATGGATGTAAACCTGGTAGCTATGGACACCGCTGTAATCGAACCTGTAATGCAAACTGCTTAAGGAGAGAATGTTTCCGTGACTCGGGAAACTGTACACATGGATGTAAGGACAGCTGGTGGGGGCCTCAGTGTAACAGCAGATGTCCGTCACACTGTGCCAGGTGTGACAGAGTTGATGCTGCATGTCTGGAATGTGAGGAGAACTACTATGGAGAGAACTGTAGCAGCAGGTGTTCCCCCAGGTGCGGCAGCTGTGACGGAACAGGACATTGTCTTACCTGTGCTGAAGGCTTGGAGGGACACGACTGTCAGGGTAGTTATGTTAATCCTAACCACACTGAACGTCAAGAATCATGCTAACATCATGTATGATATAATATACTTTTAAAAAAGTATTTTAAAAGTAAAATGTTATTGTGTGTTTGATCACTGTCAGTTTCAGTGTCCTGGTCACATATTGATAGCACGATATTCTTTGTTTTTAAGAAAAAAAAAATAATGTGATTTCTTTATCAGGATCAACTCGGATGCAGATGCTCTGGATTGTCATTCCTTGTCTTCTGATTGCGATTCTTTTCGTTTTGGCCTTCTTTGTTTTGAGACGGTAAGTTGGACTCTCGTGTCACTCTGGTGACAACAGTGTTGGCTCTATTATGATATTTGATACACGCCGATTCCGTTTTTATCGTTTCTGAGATACAAAAGATGATGTGTTTAGAATAATTTCTATCAATTTTCGCAAGTGATTTTTTCTCATCCGTTTGAATTCATTTCTTATGTTTCAGAAGTAATATGAAAGTCCAGGGCAAAATCAGAAGTCGATGTTTCGCATATTCTTCAAAACAATCAACCGTTTTAGCTATAGACAATCCAACGTTTGAAACCACTCCTAAGGGTAACCTGCAGACACATAGTTCTTATGATCCTCTCTGATCACAATGAAAGAGTTAAATGTTAAAACCGTTCTTGCTTAATAAGAGAGCTCTCATTAAATAATTATTATTTTATTGCTGAGGAACCGGTACTTATTGAACACAGTAGTACAACCATCTAACAATTTCAATTTCATCGCCCAGGATGCCAAACGCCTGTTGATGCGGTCGCACCTGAGATACAACCCCTGATGAGCGGCGGGAGAGAGCACAGTGCCGCCTCTACTGAAATCAGAATGAACGAGAGACAGAGGACAAGGTCTTCCCTCTCACACTCTCTAACATCCAGTTATACCTTAAAATCTGATGTTTCGCGGCCTCGAACAAATTGTACATCCGGTCTTGTTCCGACTCCACACCGCCCAGCCGACACGTCGTATCCGGAATGTGTGTGGTCAACGGAAGTCCCAGTTCAACACCTCAACTCCTACGTTGCAAAGATGAAAATCGATGAAGGTTTAACTAAACAGTTTTTTGTGAGTATTTTACACAATTATTTGAGATTGAAGAAGCACAATGGTTTGTTTGGTCAGCAGTATTGTCTTCAACATCACACGTTCAGACAAACCGTTTATCATATTGTGTATCAGATAACATATGTTTTTTGGTATCGTAATAATTATATGATGCTGCAATTTCATGGTACCTTATATGTTAATACATAATACTTGTCATTAACTTTATATTTCAAGGATCTTCCGTATGGTAAACTTGGTTCTTGTGACGAAGCTGAAATGCCAGGAAATGCTTTCAAGAATAGATACCGAAACATATTACCATGTAAGTATAATAGCACTGATTTCATTCTAATGGTTTGACCATGTGTATCACAGAATGGTGAACTACTTTGAAACAAAACATTAATTATTAGCAAAGAACGATATAATGATAATCCAGAAAATGTTCTCTCAGATCATTAAAATAACGAAGTAATGATCCTTTAACACTGGGAACACTGTGTGTTAGCATGGATTGAAATAATTTTGATATACTGCATCAGTCATTTCAGACTCACACATTTGGAATATGCTAATTGTACCAGAAGATTATTTTTAGAACATTTAGATTGTTTTTATTGATTGTTTTTTGAAAGTTGAAAGGGTTGTCATATGAATTTTTTTATTACATATATTCGATTTGTTTGTTGTCTAACTTCACTCTCAGCAATATTACAACTATATGACGGCGGTCTGTAAATAATCGACTCCAGACCAGATAATCCAAGGATCGATGCCATGAGCATCGATCCACGCATGTGGGATACACTCGCGAAGATCCGAGTTAGAATAAGTCTTCAGCAACCAATGCTTGCCGTAGGTGACGACTGTGCCTGGCGTAAGGTGCGACTAACGGGATCGGGTGGTCAGGCTTGCTTATATGGGTGATGCATGTCATCGCATCCCAATTGCGTAGATCGACGCCGATGATGTCAATCACTGGATTGTCTGGTCAATTTACAGATTGCCATCATAAAAGCCGGAATATTGCTGGTTGCGGCGTTAAACAACACACACACACACACACACACACACACACACACACACACACACACACACACACACACACACACTCACTCACTCACTCACTCACTCACTCACTCACTCACTCACTCACTCACTCACTCACTCACTCACTCACTCACTCACTCACTCACTCACTCACTCACTCACTCACTCACTCACTAACTAACACGCACACACACACACACACACTAACACAAACACACAAACCTGAAGGCCATGGCAAAATTCCCTTGTTTTGACTTTCCCGATCCCAGCAGAAATTCAGCTAAATGTGCATAAAGGAACATTTCAGCCAACATTTGGGATACGAAGACATTCAATCTACCAAATCACCGAACCTGACACCCGATACAGTTACGACAGTTCTTACCCAGACGCTCCACGGGTGCAGAACATTTAACAGTTTCAGGAGGAATCGGTATACATTAGAATATAAATTGCTTTCTTTTATTGTTTCAGACGATCACTGTCGAGTCAAACTGGGGCCTGTCCACAACATTCCTGGTTCCGACTACATCAACGCTAACTATATACACGTAAGTTTATATTATTCAATGTAAACAGCAACAATATATATTCTTCTATGTACGACGTGGAGTGGGGCAAATGTTTAAAGGTTTTGTTAACATAAACATCAACGAGTATTTTTTCGAAAAAGCATGCTTTTCATGAAATCTTTATTATGTTGCTTTCTTTAATTTGGTAATTTCAAGTACTTTTACTCTGAGGAATTCAGGATGGATCCGAATAGGAGGTGAATATAAACCTTGTAGTTCTTGTGTATATATTCCATCATATACCTTCACTTCCTTCAGGGGAAAGGTAATGAATTTACAAGGACATGTATAATCAATGACTACAATATATAAGTACTTTGTGGCAAATATATAAATGGTGGAACAACTTGGCTTCGGTTAAAAACATTTCCGTTGATATAATAGAAAGAGTTGAATCCAGCATTCGTATGGTTACAAATGAGATCTTCAGTTGATTTGATCAAGGTCCAAAAAGGTTTTCGTTTCGTATTCAAGTTAACGTCCATCATTTGCATTCAACCTCCCAATCAATTTCTAAATAGAGATTAAAAATGTTTTTCAGACTGTCTGACAATGTTCTGTATGTTAATCCACATATACACAGTGGCATATTGAGCTAAATAGTACCTAATTCATAGTCCGGTTTTGATAAATTGCAATGTAATTTAACCTCGAACACGATCCCGTTATTTCAGGGATACGGCCGCCCGAGAGCATTCGTTGCTACACAAGGTAACTGTGTGTTTATGCTACCTATTTCCTTACTTTCGGTTAGCATTTCCTTTCCGAAGTTTCTCTGCATATCTATCTCGTAGCCATCCTGGCCACATTTCTTCTGACATTACTGCAGGGTCATATAAAGTGTGTTTGTTAAACCGTAGTTTCTGTTTCATACGTTCTGTTATCATGAAATTTAGTCACCTCAAGGACACTTTTGAATATGTTCATGACGTAAGTCTATGCACGTGTACTTTCAGGTCCATACGGTGATGTCGTATGGGATTTCTGGAGAATGATATGGGAAACAGAAACGAGTAAAATAGTCATGTTGACAAACTTTGTTGAAAACAGAAAGGTAAGATTATACCAACACAAAGCTTTAATAAAAAATAGCTGAAATGATGTGATACTGTAACAATAGTGGAATGGACTGTTTAAAGTATTTTACTTTGGGTCAATAGTAAAACTAGAAACATCACTTTTGCGTATATGCGTATATGATACTCTTAAAAAATCGGTATGCATAGAGTCTACTAGGTTATGAATCGAAAGTCCATCTACTTGTGTATCCCCCTATTTCTAATTAGCGGTAGCTTTGGGACAGATGTAGTTGATCCTTCGTGCTGTAAATATAATGAAAGCGACAAAACCCTTTCGATATTCATAAGACATCTTTGCTCAAAGCAGAATCGATTGTAAAAGGCAAAAAAGCTGTGTAGGGATCACTGAAAATCAGACACCGGGTGTCCGAGAAAACACACACTAAATCCTTTGTCAGAAAAACATATTGCTTTGTATTACTAATGTTTTGTTTGTAGAGAATCCAATCTGTCATTCTTTTAACTTAGTTCCTGCATGATTACGTCGCCCTTTTATCACGCACCCCTCCATGTTTTCCAGGCTAAGTGTGAGAAGTACTGGCCCGACTTCGGCCACCCAGGTTCCAACTACGACGATGTCCATGTTCAGTGTGTGGCCGAGGAGGAGATGATGGACTACACAGTCAGGACGTTCTCAATACACAGGGTAAGGTCTGTTTCAATTGAGAATGGCAAAATGCAAAAGTATACAAAAATGTCATCCGCAGTGTGTTGAGTAGCAGCTCTGCAGAGTTGGATGAAGTCGTCCGGCCCGAGCTCTGAAACCGAAGGCTTTTTGTTTGCTGCTCAGGACCAGTCACTTCCCACTCGAAACCGTCAATGTGTGATTTTGCATGAAATCATTTATATCATTGAATTCTTTTTTCCTTTTGACACTAATGTGATTGACAAGATTCAGCAAAAACATAGCAAATATGTGAGCCTCGTCATTGAAATATCATGCTTGCATCCCAAGTACAAAGTTGTCCGAATTCCCATTGTCCTTGGTGCCGTAGGTTTGTTACCTCCCAATCTGTTGACTGACATTGGGAGAGTACCCGGGTTTGCTACCAGGAATACAGTCATTCTGACAATCTTGGTAATGCAGAAGGCTGCAGTATTGGGGAGTCTTTACATTCTCCGAAAAGTTCTTGGTGGTTTCGACAACGCAGTCCCATTCGTTGTCTGGGCTGCGAGTAGAGGGGGCAAGGGCCCTGAGCTGATGATGAGCCTAACCAGCCTGACTGTGCCAGGATCTCCCAAACCCTCTTTGTTGCATTTATTTATTTTAATCTGTATATAATAATAATAAAACTTTCAATAGTCATGCTAAATCTCAACTAAAAGCAGAGTCGATTGTGACAGTGAATGTTTCATATTCCTGGTCATAACTCTGCATAACCTTGTGACCGTGTGCGTGTATTTGTTAGTGATTGTCATTGAGTGCACTCATTTCCTCGCCTCAATAACCTAAACGAAATGTTACAATTACATAGGCCAACGTCATTATGTCATGTCAACGTTATCACTACCAGTACTATTCACAGGACGAACGACTATGCTAAAGTAGTACTACGTGGCCTGAGTTTGGGCTTTCCTCCCTTACTAAGCTGATAGGCCGTGACATAACTAAAAAGTCCAAAGCGAAGTGATTCCAAACTTACTGACACCATTTGTAGTTTTAGGTTATGATTACATACATTAGACACATATCCATACGTGAAATAACATGCACATTTGTTTGTATTCCTTTGGTAATTTGGATATTCCTGGTACACCAATCCATCCCTGTTTAACCGTGTTCATTTTACGGATATCTGACGTTACGATTCTCAGGATGAAGAACCGACTAGAACGCTGAAGCACTACCACTTCACTGCATGGCCTGACAAAGGAGTACCAGAGGATGTCGGGATGCTGGTGGAGTTCCACAGACTGGTCAAGAACGCACCTTCAAGAAGTAAAGGCCCAGTAGTTGTCCACTGCAGGTACGTCAAAGCCGTAGTGTACACGTGGGACGTATTACTGTTTGGAACGTCCATACCAAATCAGTAGAGGTGAAATGGGGCTTAACGTCGCTTTCAAGAATATTGCACTTATATAGCACGTGTGTGCGTGTGCGTGCGTGCGTGCTCGCGCGCGCGTGTGTGTGTGTGATTTCATAATCACAGGGGCGATGGGGTAGCCCAGTGGTTAAAGCATTCGCTCGTCAAGATGAAGACCCAGGTTCGATTCCCCACATGGGTACGGTGTTTGAAGCCCATTTCTGGTGTCCCCCGCATTCACTCACTCATAATCACATGGACCAGACGTCTAAAAGCGTAGGTATTGGCTTTGTGGAGTTGCGACCCGCTAGCGCGCCAGAATCACAGGTTCGTATCCCAGAATCGCTCTGGTTATGATTCTTGGTTTGTCAGCATAAGCCCATTCACGTGGGTTTCTCCACATAAATGACTGAGACTTACGGGTTTCCCTTCCACAATGAGTTAATACGCCGTGGTATAGCTGAAATACTTTTCAAAGAGGCATTAAACCAATATGATCAGATGTTGATATTACACAGCAGTGAATGTTGTTTTCAGCGCTGGGATAGGACGGACTGGGACGTGGATCGCTCTGGACTATTTGATTGGACAAGCCAAGGCGGAAGGTGTGGTAGATGTCTATGAGTGCATTGTCAGGCTCCGACACCAGCGTATGGATTTGATACAGACTGAGGTGAGGTATTTTCTTCATATAAAACCTGACATATACATTACATGACACGTCATTGTGGTGGCACGTGATCCTGTGTACAACACACAGGTCACAAACAAGGTGAAGTTAATCAACATTGTTTGCGTAGAGTAACTGGATGGGTGTCCGCGCCCGGCATTGTGACTCCCGAGGGTTTAGCCCATGCCGTGATTGGGTACCCGGTAGGATGAGAGATGGGATTTGAGCATGCTTTAAGGTGTGAATACATTATTATTATTATTATTATTATTATTATTATTATTATTATTATCATCATCACCATCATCATCATTATTATCAAAACTTTTAACAAATGTGTACATAGTAGCGATTTTTCTTACAGGCGCAGTACATATTTCTACACGATGTCCTTGTAGAGGTTCTCCTATCATGTGATAAGAAGAAGCCGATGTGTAAGGGTAAAGACAAGGTTAGCGATGACTACGCAGTCGTGCAGGTGAGTGTCATTATTGTACCTTCGAAAGTAATGGAATGTCGTCAAGGAGGAAATAGCATATTAGCTTTTACTCAGGACTCACTATTCGGCAAATTTGACTTTTTGACTAATTGTGTGACAAATGCACTCGTCAGTGTTGGCCTGGGATTGTTCGAAACCACAAGTAAAAGCGACCAAATACTTTCCATAAACGCAGAGTCGATTATACGATTCCGATTATATCTAGAACATGTTTTTATGAATCACTATGCAAAATGTGATACCCGGGGTTCGCGAAGAAATATTTACTCGTTCACTTTCTTGTAAATTCTTACTTGTCTCAAAATTGCCTGATATTGATTCTACTATCCGCTCACGCTTTAAACCTTACGTTGCCTACTCCTGCGAGGAACCCCTTCCAGCTATCGGAAGACTTGATATATATATTATTTTGTACCGGTTGTATCATGTGCGAATGTCAAGAATGATAGAATTGTGAGATGTTTATTATCTTGTATCCTGCTCCAGAAACGGAAACGGAATCCAATTTTGGAACAAGAAAACGACAAGTATAGGCATCGCATTCAGTTACCTTTGCCAGAGATCCCCTCCCTCGCTGTCGACAGCTTTCAAGATCAACCACGGGTAGGAACATGGGCAGGGTTCAACTCTCATACGATAGTTTCAATTGTAAAATATTGTTTATTATCATTTCACCAGCAAACATACGGAAATGACTCTCATGACATGCAATAAGAAAATAACAAGAACATGGTTTAGGACAAGAGTAACTGCCTTCAGCGGTGCACACTGACAGTTTGTACATATATACGCAGATGGATTAACTTCAGGTTTTGGGAAACTTAAATTTGTGACGGAAATTTATACATATTTTAATTGCAGGACAGGCGCAGCTGACGACCGCGTGATGAGGGCTGTTGAGGTTCCTGAATACGGATATTATGTCTCAAAGTTGTTGTCAACAGTAAAATGTAATCATACTTACCCATGTGCATTGTCCGGAGGTGTTAATATCATGTGTACATTACATTCATTAACTGTGTAAATAGAGGTTCACCGCATACAAATTACTTCTACATAGTGAGTGAGTGAGTAAGTAGGGTTTTAGTCAATATTACAGCAATATCCACGCCGTGGACACGTTGGCTTCACACATTGGAATCGAACCCAAGTCTTAGGCGTGACGAGTAAACGCTGTGGGGTGTGATTGGAGGGGGTTCGAATCAGCGAACTTCTGCTCCCCCGGCAGACGCCCTATCCACTACACCAAGGAGGCGGTTTCGTATTTCGGAATAGGGTAATGATTGATTAAACCTCGATATTGATGAATTGTAAAGACGTGGGGTGTATCAATTAAAGTCAACAGTTACACTGATCAGTAGAGATAATGTTTCATCGATTGTACCCGACCTATGAAGCGCCTATGGTTTCTATGGCTGTATCTATCAACAATGACGTTTCTACTGACCCGTTAACGTTTACCCGAACTACAGGAATGTGCGTGGAGCGCTACACTGGAAATATTTCCTTGTTAGGCGACAGTGAAACAGAAAGTCAACAAACCCGTGTGTCGCGGTAACTGGGCCGTGTCAGTGTGACCTTGTTACAGCGTTATGTATACTCCAGACTGGGTAGTTAGGGTGCACCGGTAAATAACAGCTGATCATCTGTGTGGACGCGAGTCAACAGTTCACACGTATTCATTGTTTTCATATGACATACATACGGTATTAGAAGAGCATATGCATATACAATATGAAAGTATAACATTCAAAGGACATGCAGTGTAGCAACATAGTTCATACAATATGTTATTTAACTTTTTGCATAACAACTTGGCATCATTTTTTTAACAGTCCTATTTTTGTAGTGGTATAGACAGACAAACTTCAGATTGTTGGGATATTTACGATAATATAATGGGATACAAGTATGTCTCTGTTCTTAAAACAACGGGCAGATTAATACTATTAGATAATGAAATTCATCCCCCATGTCACTCGTATCACATAGTGGACGTAGTCTATTTGTTATTCGTACTTTGTTCCATCTGCCTTTTTCAATGAAGTCAATTATTTGAAGTTCGAAAAAGACATATTGGTGTTCTATATACATTATCCAAAATTTTAATATAGGGTTCAAAATATTTTAAGATTTAAATAACTTATATGTGGTACATTTGAAGTATTTTCTATTTCGTTTCTCAATTATACTTGTAGATATTGATCATGTAATCTTGTAGAAATAACATTATTTGGCGAGAAGGTAGTAAGACCATTTGGGGATTGCCATGTGTCACTGACACCCAAATCATTCAGATTATGCTTCACAAAGTTAATCCATTAATGTGTATAGTGTTCAGATTCATAATCTGATAATAACATGTTATATACAATATAAGAAAACGTATTAGATGACATCGTTTTTTACTAAATAGTATGATCTACCACCCACGCCTTTGTGATACGATGCCATGCTCTAAACCCAGTCACTGTGCCTGACCACCTGATCCATTTGTTCTCATACATGTAGGTTGCTGGGTATCGATTCTAACCCTGTATCTTCACCGGTTGTATATATTTGTTGGTGATTTACAAGCAATTTAAATAATTAACTTATTTTATCATCATATGTGTTTAAATTGTAAATATATGTAAACGCATGCCAGATTCATGTATTTTGTATATTATGTAATTTTTGATATTATATAATTTTTATATTTGAAACTTTTCATATTATGTACCTTTGGATATTATGAAACTTTTGATATTATGCGATATTCTTGTGTGTAAATAGTAGTCCCATACATTCTGTTTAATCACTCCTTCTCTGTTAAAGCTAAGTAATCTTGACAGCTTTCATAGAATATCTATTACAGTAAAAAGCCTTCAAATGTAAATCATAAAGTCATGTATCTGAACATAAAAAATAAACAGTCCATTAAACAAACATGTTAAAAGCAGATTGAAACCCGTTAATGCAAATGATCCGGATAATTAAATTTCGGTTTAACCAATCATGATTGAAATCAATGTCCCTTTATCATGCATTGTGTTCCCAATAACATCGTCTGGAAGAAAGGGTTTCCGGACCATCGAGGTTTCACTGTATTAAGACTTTTTAACCTGTAACATATTTCTAAAATTACAATCATGTACATTGAATAAAGATACCAGAATGTTGTCGAAATGTTTTCGCTTTTCACTAATTTCCACTTTCTATTTCCGTGGATGATTGAGGTGTCTGGTATAATTAGAGTGATTGAGTGAGTATGGTTTTACGCCACTTTTAGCAATATTCCAGCAATATCACGGCGGGGGACACCAGAAATGGGCTTCACACATTGTACCCATGTCGGGAATCGAACCCGGGTCTTGGGCGCGGCGTGCGAACGCTTAAACCACTAGGCTTCCCGACCGCCCCGGTATAATTAGACTGACAACAGGAGTAATTGAATGTCATTGAAACGTGCATTTAATGTACCCTCGTGACGATGCAGGCGGAAATGAGGTACACTGGTTTAGTAATGAATATTGATGTTGAACTTTGATGCATGATGCATTCGTATTATACTGTGAGACAGCCGGGTGTATGTGCACTTGCTTTATGACTCACGCTGACGAATGTTTGATTCGTCTGATGAAAGGCAAATACACCGCTGGCACAACACGTTCACTTCCTTGTATACAGTTTAATGTGTGCCTCACGACATGTCCAAACCATGTTTTTCAACCCGAAGTGGTTGTGAAACGATGTATGACTCAGTACGAGAAGCTTTGTTTCTCATAGCATGTTATTCAGAATTAAGAATATTCACACTCTCAATTTACAGCATACCCTTGCCTGTGCATGTATTTGGAACGAGTGCTACCTTTAGGGCAGGATACGCTAAACTTGTCGCGAACACCTGGTGTCACTATTTGACTGTGATTCATAAACACATGCACATGATATAGTCAAAATAGTACATTCGACTTTGCTTTTGGCAGAGATTCGCTTTTATTTACCCTTTACTCAATATTTCCGCGTCTCAAGTACGTATCTTTTCACTGTAGAGTGTAACAGTTTTTAAATTAACAACTCAAAAGCAAATACAAATTATCTCCCTTGCACCGTCCCCAAAGATGCAGGCGGCCAGGTGTTTGCAAATACTTGGTGAATGCCACGAGCAAGCGAGTCATTGTGTTTTGACGTCTTGATAAATTCATAGTGTAGGTAACATCACATTAAGCCTCGATGTTTGTGTTCTAAAATAGCAGAATTAGCAAGATGCTGATCTGATCTAAATGATCCACATGTATAGTCCAACAAGATGACACGATAGGCGTATACGTATGTTATTGAGAAATAAATAATTGTATATTATCAATTTTTTAAATCGCAAGAAACCGTGTTCTTTATACTTATATATAGTGTAACAAATTGTATTATTCTCCTAAAAATAAATTGTTTTGGTTTAAAAGATCATTGAAATCAAGAGATAAATATTTTACGAATCTTCACAGAATTTTCTATCGTTTGAATATGGCTGTTGCTTCACCTGGGGGCACGGGTGGCCCAGTTGTCGAGGGCACCGCAGTTTGTTGTACACATTTGCGTACTTGGGGCTTTCCATAAAACTACGATCGTGGGTTCGAATCCAAGATTCGCCCTAGTTATGTTTCGAGTTATCTTCTAAAACCTGCATCACTACCGATCGATGGAACAGCATCACTGGAAAGGGAATATGCCTTCTTCTTGAAACAAGCCCGGAGCGCTATTTCAAACACTCATGTTGTAAATTGATAGTTCCAAAGTTGTGCCTTAGAGTTATGTGTGGCAATAGTATATGGGTTTGGACAATCATCAACGCGCCCCGGAAACTTGTCACACATTTAATTAAGTTTCATACGTTACTCTCACATTATTACAAGTGTCCTCCAGATAATTATTTAACTGAAACCGAAAATATAAACACATATTTCCATGTTAAGAAGCATAGGTTACAGGTTCATTATACGATTTGATACATTGTTCCATAGGTGGATTATTCTTATAATCGGTTACGGAGAAATGCTCCTCAATAATTAAGCCTGCTTTACACCAAGGTGTATCATCTAAATCATTGTAGGTGATGCACTCGTACACTTAGTTGTTTCAGGGCGGCGGAGTACCCTAGTTGTTAACGTTCGCGCATCACACCGAGGACCCGGGTTCTATTCTCCACACTTTGGTATTCCCCGTGGTGATATTCCTGGAATACTGCTAAAAGCGGCGTAAAACCCTACTGAATCACTCACTAGTTGTGTTGCCTTTCATTTGAGTTTTGATTCTATAGGGTAGAAGAAACGGTATTCACCATGTTGATATCTACATGTCGATAGTCAGAAAGGAAACTGCATTCTAAGTGGGTACAAACCGTGCACTTAAATATGACGACATATGATAAGAAACTACATCTACATTATCTCACTTTCTGTTAAATAGAGAAAGTGATTTCAAATGCATTGAGCTGTTAGTATATAAGCTCTCTCGCAACTTCATGATGCATTTGATTTAAGTCTGTAACATTGTAAAGTGGTTGAAGCTTAGAAACGTAAAACATTGTGGCCATTGAAGGCGATTGCGGAGCGTGTGATTTCAGCACTTTTACTACGAAAATTCAATACTTTCTATAAATATTATGAATTTTTCTCTTCGGAAATTTACATTCGCAACAAATCACAATCATATTTTCCCAACTTTACTCGCCCTTTAATATAAAGTGGGGATTATGAGATTGTGCTAAAGTAGCTGGTTGGCTTGAGTGAGTGCATGAGTTTGGTTTAACGGTGCTTCAGTTCTGTCACGGAATATCTTCAACAATGTGTGTGTGTGTGTGTGTGTGTGTGTGTGTGTGTGTGTGTGCGCGCGCGCGCTACATGTACATACACGATCTCGTTTTCACCTCTCCCACGGCGATAGCCGAATACGAGTATGCCGGCGTCGCGATGAACGTTACGCTCAGAAGTGTGTTGTGGAGCCGTTTCGGAGAATCAGTGTTATGGTGTGGGGAGGAATCATCGAGAGACATATGACTCGTTTGCAAGTGCTCAATGGCAATTTGAACGGGCAGTATTACTGTGACGAGGTCAATCAGCCTATCGTTGTGCCGTTTTTGAATCAACATTTTATAGCATGACAACACCCGACCCATGTCGCCCGGGTTGTTCAACAAGCACTCGGACAGAACAACGTGAATGTGATCCCATGGCCTTCTCGCTCTCCAGATCTTTCTCCAACTGAGCACATGAAATGGACTACAGTACAGGAACTGAGAGACAGGCTGGTGGAGATATGGGATGTCATCCCACAATACTGTGTTAGACGTTTCATCCGTTAAATGCGAACGAGATGCATTGCATGCACCCAAGCGAGAGGGAGACACACGCTACTAGCGCGTGAATTGACAATTCTGTTCTTGCATCTTTCTCTTGTCATAACTTAATTTCTGTGCAAGACATGTGTCATTAAATATGTAAAGTTGTTTAACTGGTCAATTGTCTTTTAGAAAATATGAATTCTTTCATATGTGTGCGTCTACTTTGATCAGGTTCTTGTTTTATATCGTGTCACAGAAACTTTTGTTGCTGAGTATATTTTGTATTTGTTTAAGATTCAAACTGTTTATTCTACATATGGTCAAACGACACCTTTTTAAAAATAATTACAATAATCTAATAATGTGAGGCCCAACTCCTTCGTTATTTGCCTGGCGCTTAAAACGTTTGAAAGATTTACTCTTGTTTGTTTGTTGTTGAACGCCGCACTCAGCAATATTCAAGCTATGTGACGGTGGTCAGTAAATAATCGAGTGTGTGTGTGTGTGTGTGTGTGTGTGTGTGTGTGTGTGTGAGTGAGTGAGATGCCGATTTATAGTGCTAGCACACTGAGATACCATGCCGCAGTTTAACATGAATACCCCACTCAGACACAGTATACTGATTCCGAGCCGACCAGTCCTTGTTTTAGTCCTTTAATGCCGTGCGCCAGACAGGGTAACAACAAGTACCATCTTTTAACGTCTTTTGGTATGACGCGGCCGGTGATCGAACCCCGGACCTTCCGCTCTCCGGGCGGACGCTCTACCACTAGACCACGGAGTCGGTGGAACCTTTTAGAATGAAAGTATGAAGAAATATTTTGTTTCTATGTTGAGAAGTTTTGCCATTATATGGAGAAAGGGCCTATGTAAATGATTTACTTGCTTGATTAGTTGCTGCAAATATGGCTGTGGACCGTGTTAACGTGACTTGTGTCGATCATAGTACCGCATTGTGCAGTGCTACGATAGAATGGTGTCGACAAACCATAAATAGTCATCAGGGTGAATCAGGGATTCGAACCCACGATCACATCCTGACACGGCTAATGGACGCCTCAGCAAATTGCGGTGCCTCAAACCAATATACCTAATTGCCCTTGTTACGGTGACAACATAACACAATATTGTTCATTTTAAAATTTTATTAAAATTATTTTCCAATAAGTATGAACAATGACAATGAATACACATATTTACACAGTCGTGTTTTCTTAAACGTTGCTCTCAATCAGGTTTGTACAGGGTGAGTATACAATCATCAAGTTGAGATTACGGCACTGTACAGAAAATATACATCTGAGAGGGTAAGGCCGCTTTTAGCAGTATATAAATCCATCTGAACACCATGGAAGACGTCATGAATGTGGGGATCGAACCGTGTTCTTAGGCTTGGTTGGTTGGTTTGTTGTTTAACGCCACAGTCAGCAATATTCCAGCTATATGACGGCGGTCTGTAAATAATCGAGTCTGGACCAGACAATCCAGTGATTGACATCCTGAACATCGATCCACGCAATTGGGATCGATGACATGCATCAACCAAGTCAGCGAGCCTGACCACCCGATCCCGTTAGTCGCCTCTTACGACAAGCATGGGTTTAAAGATCTATTCTACCCCGGATCTTCACGGGTCTCTTAGGCTTGGAGGAGAAAACACTTTCACCACTAGGCAACCATACAACCTCGCGATTTTGTGAGGCTAAACGTAATATTGTAAAGTACACTGTGAATACACAAAACATGTGTGAATTGCTATGATATATGAAATACAATCACCACTATAATCAATATTAGTATCACTTGTTTTGGTATTTACACTGACAGCGGTAGAATATGACCCGGAACTGTAAAAGACCGCTTGTCTACAAAGTTGGCTTAGGCTGGGTATCCCAGGGTGTACCGATACTATGGAGAACCCCTGGCTTGTTAGAAAGGTTGTCAAATGAATACATCCAGAGCAGCATGGCTCAACCACATCTGTATATATCCATTCTCTTGAACTGTAAACACCACTAACATGGCGGAACCCAACGTTGACCCACAGCAACAAAAAACTGAGCGTTGAAATTCAAAACAATTAGTGAAATTCAAATATTTACGTTTGCTTTAATTTTTAAATATGCATTATTTAGAAAGTCACTTGGCTGAACATATCCAGTGTAGCATGGCTCAACTACGCCTGTATATAGCCACCCTCCTGACAGAGACCGAAAGAAAATGTCACATAAACATGTTTCAGAATCCAATGATTATTTTCCTAGCAGTTATGATGTGGTAATGGCGTTATGTGATACTGTCCATCCTTATACCACCCAACATAAGTTTTGAATTGACGAAAGAGAAGGCCCACTACCTGGTTGTAGAATAAATTCAGTTACCAAGGATGGGTGTCAGTACTATTATACCACAGTTATACAACAGCACTGACAATGATAATACTGAAAGATGTGCTGTGTTCACCGTCACAACCCAACACAGGTGTGATGCAACCTGGTCCTTAGTCCACTTCAGTCTTTGAGAATGTATACAATGCAATATGTACAACATTCTGACTTGATGCAGTCAAAATAGAGGCCCAACGCTAGTAATTAAACATTTTTGTTTGATGTTTAACGCCGCACTCAGCAATATTCCAGCTATATGACGACGGTCTGTAAATAATCGAGTCTAGACCAGATAATCCAGTGATTGACATAATGAGCAACCAAGTCAGCGAGCCTGACCACCCGTTACTCGCCTCTTATGACAAGCATAGCCGCCTTATAAGGCAGGCATGGGTTGCTGAAGAGCTGTTTTACTCCGTATCTTCACGGGTTAGTCCTTGAGATTACGCGGAGTAAGGAAAGGGATAAAGACTAGTCCACTCCAGTCCTTGAGTTCCGATACATCGCGGAGTAAGAAGTCCATTACGACAAGTCCAATCTGGTCGTTGAGGGTTCGTATACATATAGGGAGGTAGGAAGCTTGACCTTGAGACTTGGAGGAAAAGCCTGTTGGACAACGTTTGCTTGATATCAATTCAGAGGATGGATGTTTGAACATACTTGTATACAGGCACGTTTCTGTTATATACATGGGGACATTTTGCACATTATTTGCGCAAGACAGTATAAAGGCGAAGATTAATTTGTGTGTTATACTATCCTGCTATGCCTATATACGTTTTTGACAAGTGATGTTCTTTTCCAATTTTCAACAGAATCTTGACAATGTATATTCTACAGATGTTTGTATCGATTCATTGTTTGCATAACTCAGCATTCAGATACTCACCATTGTCCATAAGCATTTGTGTAGTTGACAGGAGAGTCAGGTGTGGGAGTCATGAGTAGGTTACAGCTGCGGTAATGGGACCTGTTCACATACAAATTGTGATTAGATGTTGAGTCATATGGAATGGAATGGAAACTACAGGTAAGATGTCTTTTTTTCTTCGAATAGCCTACAGAGATACAATAAAGATGCATAATTTTCAAACATCAAAAATAAGATAGCTACACGATATGAACAATGAAGAACGAAGCGTGATTTATTTCACAATAAATTATTGTTCTATCATGACGTCATTTCTGGAGATTCGAACATGGCCTCGCAACATGATGACGTCGTAAATTGGACGACGTTATTTTTTATAGGGAAGTATCCCGTTAGTTGTTTCCAATAATCTGGGCAAAGTCGGTAAGCGCGATGGCCGAAGGATCGCATCTAAAAGTGGGCGAGATATGACAATCGACACTGAGAAAGGTTGATATAATCGAGAATTGTGAGAATATCCGCGAAAAACAAAAAAATAACCCCCCTTTTCATAAATAAATTTGTTAGACATGGCTGAGGTCGGATTGTATTCAGGGAGTCATTATTCAAATACGGGTAAATATTTGTAAAGCTTGTACATCGTATTAACGTCCTTCAAAAGGCTGTTCATAATGTTGATATCTCATAAGAAAATAATGTATATAATTTGAAGCTCACCTTATGAATTTGTTGTGTTGAAAATACATCCATCTTAATGGACTTGGAATCTGTGTACCCATCACGTGGTATCTGATGCAATCAAATGGCAGTGGTAATGCGACCTGTACATGAAGACATTGTGATGAGATCTAATTTCCTATACACCAGGAACATTCATTTAGAATAGCGTAGACCAGAGGAATGTTCTGGAAAAGAAAATACAGATGCCATGCCCTGTATCTACGAATAAATTTAAGATATAATTAAGATAATGCCTTTCAAACATCAAATAAAGTATATAGTTTGAAACTCACCCTGTGAATATGTTGTGCTGAAGATGCATCCATCTTTGTGGTTGACTTGAGATCACGTGGTATGTGGTGAGATCACGTGGTATGTGGTGAGATCACGTGGTATGTGGTGAGATCACGTGGTATGTGGTGAGATCACGTGGTATGTGGTGAGATCACGTGGTATGTGGTGACATCAGGCGAGGACCGTCCTCCAGTTCAGACATACAATGTATCCAGCAGTAGGTCCACTGGGGTAGTATTGCTCATATAGCACATCATGACGTTATTCACAGACGGGCAAACGACGCTACCCCTCATAATGCCAATGGCATCGAACATGGTTAGGAATATACTCCGTCTTTAATTTCAAGTGTCAAGAATACTATTTGAAATAAATTGATGCCATAGCCAAGGGTAAATAATACTATACAAGAAATACTCGTGTGATAAGAGCTACTCATTTTAAAGTAAGTACAACCTTTCTGCTTTATAATCCTTCGAAAACGTCACTGTCAAAAGACGCTAACTAGGTGAGGTGAGGTGAAATGGGGTTTAACGTCTGGTCCAAGATTATTGCACTTATATAGCGACGTGCATGCACGTGTATGTGTGTGTTGCTGCTTGTACTAGTCTGGACTAATGTCGATTTTTAGTGCTAGCACACAGATACCATGCCGCAGCTTAACATGAATACCCCACTCAGACACAGTATACTGACTCCGAGCCGACCAGTCCTTGTTTTAGGCCCTTAATGCCGAGCGCCAGACAGGGTAACAACAAGTACCATCTTTTAACGTCTTTTGGTATGACGCGGCCGGTGATCGAACCCCGGACCTTCCGCTCTCCGGGCGGACGCTCTACCATTAGACCACGGAGGCGGTCTAGACGCTAACTAAATACCACTACCCGAGAAGATGCTTGTGAATACAACCGAGTAACCGTTCAACTAGAAGGTGTTAGCGGGTGTTTCAGGTAGGAGAACGAGCCATGAAACATAAAACACCCCTCAACACCTTAAAGCCGCCGAGTCACCAGGAAGTACACATGACCCTCCAGGTGTTGTAAGTGGACGATCGTCCAGAAAATCAAGACTGTATGTAACGCTTATGGGCGATGTATCTGGTCAGTGAGCAATAGTGGCACACGAAATAAACACTGTGCGTTGCCCCAGTTGGCAGTAGTGACATAAGACGAGCACGAGTACAATAGCTGTTATTAACAGTAAACTATTGATTCCAAGGTATTGCTGTGTAGGTAGAACGTTTACGTTGGACACTGAGGCACCAACATGTTGAGGTGAAACTGAATTAAACATGAAGATATGTTCATACGGCCAAAATACGGTGCTGGGATACCTTCGTTATCTGGTACATTATAGGAAGCAATGAACATGTACATGTCCACTTGGTTCAAACATTTCAACAGAAAAATAACCTCTGTAGGCTGCCCTTAGTCGGAACATGGGTATAGAAATGAAGTATAATTCCTGCACATGAAGCGATGTAATTGGCAGGTGTTAGGGAAGGTAACATTGACTGTACCAAACCTGAAGAAGAAAGAGTATTTTGTTGAACAGAATAATTCAGTGGCTTTTTAAAACGTAGATAATTCAATTTGAGTTGCAAAATAGTTTCGATAATGGACGAACGGATACTATCGACACTTGTTCAACAAATATATACATAGAAATAACGTCATTTATATCTTGAACTAAAATTAAATGAAGTTCTACTTACCGTATGTAGCGGAGAAACGCCTAGTTGACGTGGTTGCTGAGGCTGGCTAGCTGGCTGACAACAGAGTAGGGCGACTCAGGCTGGTTGGCTGACAACAGAGTAGGGCAACTCAGGCTAGCTGGCTGACAACAGAGTAGGGCGACTCGGGCTGGTTGGCTGACAACAGAGCAGTGCGACTGAGGCTGTCTAGAGTAACAGTAGGGTAACCGAGGCTGGTTGGATGGCTGGCAGCAGAGTAGAACGACTAAGGATGTCTGGCAACAGAGTAGGGCAACTCAGGCTAGCTGGCTGACAACAGAGTAGGGCGACTCGGGCTGGTTGGCTGACAACAGAGCAGTGCGACTGAGGCTGTCTAGAGTAACAGTAGGGTAACCGAGGCTGGTTGGATGGCTGGCAGCAGAGTAGAACGACTAAGGATGTCTGGCAACAGAGTAGAATGACTGAGGATGTCTGGCAACAGAAGGGCGACTGAGGATTATTCCTTAAGCTGAACAGGACGCCTGTGTGATGAAATCATCTTGATACTTTGTGACGACACCTGGAGTGAACAGAAAAGTGTTTCGTTAACATTCATAAAATAACAGCTGTTGCAGTTATTTATAAATACTAATTTTAGAAAAATATCATCTGTCTAGTTAATACTTCGACAATTCTACGTGAAACGACTGCAGATTAACACGTGTCCTGCTAACAAGCTATTCAAAGCATTCAATTGTTAGAATCAACATGCATTCATTGTGTACCATTTCATATGCTTTAAACCGCACTCAAAGCATGATATATTGGGAGTGCCTTTTCTTCCCTAGAATCTCCTGGGGTAATATATAAGTGGTAGCAGTAGTTGACATTTAGGGCAAACTGAACCGGGAACAATGTAACTTATATGTATTAAGTATATTCCAGCAGTAAGTTGAGTGGGGGAGTTGGTGATGTGATGGATTACCTCCCTTTCTAAATGCGAGAACTGGATCAAAGATGACATACACACATGACGGTCAACTTACTCTCCACTCCTCCCAGCGCCATCTTGAGAACTCCAGCTGGTTTTCGCACTCGGCCCCTCTACAATGAAAGAAAACACAATGCATAGACCTTCTTCTCCTGTCCAAGACACAATCTACAGACACAAAGCAATAGTGATGTTCTCCCTGAAGTGAGTGCTGGACTGTTGCAGTTGTAACGTGTGTCAGTTAAAGGCACCTTACACCTTCAGGTCAACTATGTTACTTGTGGCTTACAACATTAGCAACGACCCACAATAAATGGGTACTGGGTTTCAATCAAATTCGGTATATTATTTGTTTTGAAAAAAGATAGACTATATGAAACTCACGGAAGTCCTCTGTGCTTCGTCCAGAAGACGTAGCAACTCCTCGTATGACTGTTTGTTGCCCTCGTTGCTGTTGGCGCTGTTGTCGTTGCCTTTTCCGCCTGACCTGGCGTTCTGTTCTTTGCCTGGCCTCGTCAGGTGTATGGTTCTGAGTGAGAAAAGTCATTAAAAATATAAATGAACAACATTCATGACTGTGTATAATTATATGTTGTATTAATAGCTGCTAATGACATAAGATTACTTAATAGTTGTGATAAGGGATAGTGTGTGGCAAGTTATACAATAAAAAAACTATTTTCAGTTTCAAGTTCAACCTGTCAGATCCGTTTTCCCCTTAAGTATTTATAAGAAGTTATCTTGAACTTTAAATTATTATATTGTATTCAACTTTCTCTGGCAATGACAATTTTTTTATCTATTTTGAAATGTAAATGCAACTTTCTTATCTTATTTATTATTATTACATTATTATATATATTCATATATATAAATGTTCTTGTGTGAGTGGGTGAATGTTGTTTAACGCCGCAGACAACAATATTCTAGCTCTATCCCGGCTGCCTTTCATCCGGACCAGTGACAAACGAGCAACCAGCATGAGGTAGCAGATAACTCACAAGGGGAACTATTTTAGAAAAAGTATTATTATATGTGAAGAAGCCTTAAAACATTGACTTGAGCTAAAAGCCAACAACTCAGGTTTATGGCGAGATTTAGTTTCAACATGAGTGAATCTTTAATGACTGCCAGTTGTGTTTAAGTAGTTGAATAGCATACTTACTGATGGCACCGTCTGGGTCGCCAATGTAATCGTGGTTCATGCTGTTGCCGATGTTGATGCAGGTGCGGTTGTGGATGCGATGCGGATGCCGATGCCGATGTCGATGTCGATGCCGATGCCGATGCCGATGCCGATGCCGAGGCGGAAGACGATGCCATCGTCGATGTCATCAGCGGCAACCTAAACAAAGGGAATGCGTCTTATATTGCGTTATATATGTATGCACAAGGGATCAGATTGACGGCAATCACAGCTGTTATGAACCCATGGGACATGTTTTATTGTCATGGAGATTGATCTTTACCATATTATAAAAACAGCATATCCCCTTTCCCACACATAACACCTATAGCTCTAGGTAACTACACAACGCCTAGGAAGTAATGAACTGAAGATCAATCTTTACCATACTAAAAAACAGCATATCCCCCTTCCCACACACATCCATACCTATAACTCCAGAAGACAACACAACGCCTACATGAAGGTAATAATGTTAAACCTAAACATATTCATTGTGGTTGACTTACATTTCCTTTCAGACGCCGGTTTTCTTCTTTTAGTCCCTGATATCCTCTTGTAATTTTCGGTTTTCCTCTCGGAGTTTCAACAATTCCGCGGATGGAGAAACCTGTCAAACATAAACAAATGTCAAATATTGCCAAAACAATGAACTTACACATACTGCCGGGGAAAGGAAAGTAGACAACCATGCGTGATGGTGGCTAACAATGAAACAATCAAGGGACGGTTTATTCCATGGTGATGTTTTTGATACAGGTATCACAGTTGTGTTCATGACCAGAACTGTAGAAAACCCCGTGCTATGACAGTACATCAAACTTCCATTTCACTTTCAACGCGACGTTTTGGTGTATATGTTGGTACATTTTACAAGCAAGTTAAACAATAACTGGATAGGACATGGTCATGTATATATTGCTACAAAAACAAAGAGTTAAACCAAATCAATATATAGGATAACACATGGTGACCGTAACAAAATATTGCCCAGTAGATCTGATGTCATACACCATACCATTGATGGTACAAGAAAACTGAATCACAGACTTTGGAACGCTGGGGTAGCGTAACGAGTAGAGTGTTCGCCTGACACGCAAAACGACTTAGGTTAGATCCTTCCCCGCCGTGATATTGCTGGAATCCGCTCACTCAGAAGCGTAATAAAAATAAATAGATTCAGACATGAACGATAGCATCAATGACAGTAAGCATGTCAAGTAGAACGGGTATCGAGACGTTGGTTGAAGAGGATGAACTCTATGAAGTTAATGTGTTTATTTACATCCACTGGAGTCGCCCCCGATGCCGTGCCCCAGCTGCCTGCCTACTCTCGGATGGTGTGACGAAGGGCGTGGTCACCATTGGGATGGCAAAAGGCGTTGACGACGATGATGATGTTACCCTAGAGGATGCCGGAGTAGTGTCCTGTTGGACCTGAAGAGTTGCTTGTGGAGTGGCCTTGGCTGAAGGCTGTACAAAAGTCCGCAGAACGTTCAACATGATGGAAAGCGAGTAAATGTAGCGAAGTGAAACGACAACCGTGATGCATCCTGGGAAGTATCCGTGTTATACACTGGCCGATTTACACCAATTAAGCCAACAAGCCCGTGCCCGCGGCCTTATGGGTATTCAGTATCAATCAACTGATAGAGAATACATGGGCTATCCTTTTGTCAAATCGCAACCCTCAAAACAATGGAATCTGTAGATGGACATGTCGAGCACGGACTTCTCGTGAAACACGCCATGCTCTTGATATAGAACACATCGGGACACATTTCTACACACTGGAAACCAAACTAAACCTCCAGCGCATAACTATAACGAATATATTTTCCTCAATGTGTGTATATCTTCTCATTTTCTATAAACGTTCATTGTCAACACGGTGATTCTTCAATATTAACAAAAGCCATGTTGGTCTTAAATTTTACATCTCACTGTTGGTGTGCAATGATTCCTCTTACTTGACGTACATTATGGTACATTATTCAATGTTGACAACTTAACTACAAAGTCAGTTAAATCCGACTTGGTGTTGATGGAACATTTGTTTTATCATATAATCTACAGACAAAACAAAAATGACGAAAAACGTCAGGCACAAGCAGGGTCCGATCCTGCGCAGAAGGTTCAAAAGGCTCACGAATATGTTCTACTGCAACGGTGACATGGACACAACTTTGATAAGAAGAAAATTGTTGTATTTATAGACGAGTGATTTGGTAGCTTTTCGTTAAAAAATACGTATAGAACTAAAAGTACTTTTGTTCTTGACCAGGGCGATGTTTGTTCATGAATAGCCGTCAACATAGACATTAAGTGTATTATGATCGATAATGTGTTCGATTTTGTTTTATATGAATTGTCTCAAGACCCAAGAACTTGCATTCCACAACCCGAGTCGACAAAGACAACTACATGTTACCTTGATGACCTAGATACGCATAAACAATTATTACCTTGATGAGATACACCGTGCGGAGACCACGTGTATATATACAACAACATGTAGCTCTGATGGTATACACCCTACCAAGACGTGTATACAACAACATGTAGCTATGATGGTATACACCCTACCTAGACTTATATACAACAACATGTAGCACTGATGGTACATACCCTACCTAGACTTCTATACAACAACATCTGGCTCTGATGGCATACACCCAACAAAGACTAGTATACAGCAACATGTAGCTATGATGGCATACACCCTACCTAGACTTGTATACAACATGTAGCACTGATGATATACACCCTACCTAGACTTGTATACAACAACATGTAGCTATGATGGCATACGACCTACCTAGACTTGTATACAACAACATGTAGCTATGATGGCATTCACCCTACCTAGACTTGTATACAACAACATGTAGCACTGATGGCATACACCCTACCTAGACTTGTATACAACAACATGTAGCACTGATGGTATACATACACTCTCCCTAGACTTATATACAACAACATGTAGCTATGATGGCATACACCCTACCTAGACTTGTATACAACAACATGTAGCTATGATGGTATACACCCTACCTAGACTTGTATACAACAACATGTAGCTATGATGGTATACACCCTACCTAGACTTGTATACAACAACATGTAGCTATGATGGCATACACCCTACCTAGACTTGTATACAACAACATGTAGCTATGATGGTATACACCCTACCTAGACTTGTATACAGCAACATGTAGCACTAATGGTATACACCCTACCTAGACTTCTATACAACAACATGTAGCACTGATGGCATACACCCTACCTAGACTTCTATACAACAACATGTAGCACTGATGGTATACATACACTCTCCCTAGACTTATATACAACAACATGTAGCTCTGATGGCATACACCCTACCTAGACTTGTATACAACAACATGTAGCACTAATGGTATACACCCTACCTAGACTTGTATACAACAACATGTAGCACTGATGGTATACGCCCTACCTAGACTTGTATACAACAACATGTAGCACTGATGGTATACATACACTCTCCCTAGACTTATATACAACAACATGTAGCTATGATGGCATACACCCTACCTAGACTTGTATACAACAACATGTAGCACTGATGGTATACATACACTCTCCCTAGACTTATATACAACAACATGTAGCTATGATGGCATACACCCTACCTAGACTTCTATACAACAACATGTAGCTATGATGGTATACACCCTACCTAGACTGGTATACAACAACATGTAGCTATGATGGTATACACCCTACCTAGACTTGTATACAACAACATGTAGCTATGATGGCATACACCCTACCTAGACTTCTATACAGCAACATGTAGCTATGATGGTATACACCCTACCTAGACTGGTATACAACAACATGTAGCACTAATGGTATACACCCTACCTAGACTTGTATACAACAACATGTAGCACTAATGGTATACACCCTACCTAGACTTGTATACAACAACATGTAGCTATGATGGCATACACCCTACCTAGACTTCTATACAACAACATGTAGCTATGATGGTATACACCCTACCTAGACTGGTATACAACAACATGTAGCACTAATGGTATACACCCTACCTAGACTTGTATACAACAACATGTAGCACTAATGGTATACACCCTACCTAGACTTGTATACAACAACATGTAGCTATGATGGCATACACCCTACCTAGACTTCTATACAACAACATGTAGCTATGATGGTATACACCCTACCTAGACTGGTATACAACAACATGTAGCACTAATGGTATACACCCTACCTAGACTGGTATACAACAACATGTAGCACTAATGGTATACACCCTACCTAGACTTGTATACAACAACATGTAGCACTGATGGTATACGCCCTACCTAGACTTCTATACAACAACATGTAGCACTGATGGTATACATACACTCTCCCTAGACTTATATACAACAACATGTAGCTATGATGGCATACACCCTACCTAGACTTGTATACAACAACATGTAGCACTGATGGTATACATACACTCTCCCTAGACTTATATACAACAACATGTAGCTATGATGGCATACACCCTACCTAGACTTCTATACAACAACATGTAGCTATGATGGTATACACCCTACCTAGACTTATATACAACAACATGTAGCTATGATGGTATACACCCTACCTAGACTTGTATACAACAACATGTAGCTATGATGGCATACACCCTACCTAGACTTCTATACAACAACATGTAGCTATGATGGTATACACCCTACCTAGACTGGTATACAACAACATGTAGCTATGATGGCATACACCCTACCTAGACTTATATACAACAACATGTAGCTATGATGGTATACACCCTACCTAGACTTGTATACAACAACATGTAGCTATGATGGTATACACCCTACCTAGACTTCTATACAACAACATGTAGCTATGATGGTATACACCCTACCTAGACTTCTATACAACAACATGTAGCACTAATGGCATACACCCTACCTAGACTTGTATACA